AGAGGGCGAAGTAATGAAGTATTTTTTATATAAGAGCGAATGTTCTCCTTTATTTATTTTTAATCTCAGAGTAACTTTTTCTCTGACTAATTATAATTTTTTTAATCTCAGAGCGTTTGGTGCCCTCCAAAATATTATTATTATTTTTATTTTTTTAATTTCTGAGCTGTGAGACCTTCGAAAGTATATTCCTTATGCAATCATATTTTCCAAAGCTCATGAAAAAAATATATATTTTTAGTAAAACCTTAAATTCTTTTTGTTGATGTATAATTCCATATTTCTTAATTCTTTTCCCACTTCTTTAAGAGATTAACTTGGTTGATTTGTTCGGCCTACAAATGTTTACCTTTTTGGCGATGGCCAAGTTTAAGCTGTTGGCCAAGTTAACATGTAACCAAACCACACAACGCCGATGGAGTATCCTTGTCATAAGGCGTTTTTTTTTTGCTCCTCGGCTTACTTTCGTTCCCAGCCAGACACCAGGCATTTTTCGTGTTGTGGGTCATTCATGCAATGATGTGTGGCAACACCTAGCACACCTTGCCTGGCTGGCGGCCTCCTTTCCCCCCTGCCCTCTTGGCTGACTGGCTGGCAGGTTGACTGGTGTTTACATGAATTTTGCGTAGCCCGTGTTTTTGTGTGTCCAGATGGTGTTGTTGGTTGTTTTTGCTGTTTTTTTTTTGTTACTACCAAACCTTTGACCATGGCCTATTAAATGGAATTCTGTTGGCGTTTTTTCCCTCTCTCTCTGTGTGTTTTTTTTTTCTTTTTTTGATTGTTTATTTTGTTATGGTAATAAACATTTGCTTTTGCCATTAATGCTTGACGGAATTATAACGCATTATTTATGTTGTTTGTTGTGCCATTTTTTTCGCCACATATGTATGTGTGTGCGTGTGTGTGTGCATGTAGGCTTTTGTGCTTTACCTGTAGTTGAATGTTGAGATTGAAGGAATTAAAATAACTTTTTCTTGTTTATTTGCCAAAAATCCACAATAATGTTTTTTTGGTAATATTTCAATGAACAGCATCTGGCAATCAGCGTTAGCTTTTTTCGATAGGGGTTCGAGATTTGGTTCACTGAGCAGGGATTTGGTGGACTACTGATATTGACAGCTATTAACTGAGAAAGAAAAAAACATGTGGGAAATTCCTTGGAAAAAAACCTATGGATTATTTTTCAATGGTCTTCGAAAGGCATACCAAGGTTTGAGGGGGGAATATTCTGATATTTTAATCATGTCCAAATAAAAATCAACCAAAACAAAAATCTGATCTACTATGTGTACGCAGGTGTTTCCAATTTTTTTTTTGTGGATTTTTTGCAAATAACCACAATTTTTATTAATTGAAAATCACAAAGCAAACATTAATCCATTTGAATTATAAATCAGCTATGGAATTAAAAAACAATGTGAAAAAAAATAAAAAAAATGCCAAGGAAAAATTAATTTGGGTCATTTTCGTGAATCATTTGCTTATTTTTAGCCCCTGACAAAAAAAAAAAATAAAAAAAGAAACGAAAAACAAGCAATTGCATAAATCTGGTTTTCACGCGAAATTTTCAAGTGTTTTCCAAAGAATTCCAATGGCCAATAACTCTAGATGCCTACTCTGAAAAAATTGCAAATTTTATAGAATTTCGAATGATTTTTCATTTTAAACATTGCATAGAGAGAGGGAGAGAGAGCAAGCGAGTGCATTGTCCGGCCAATTTCAAGAGGAGGTTTTTATTTTTATTTTTTAAGGAATTTGTTTGCCTTTTGACACAATTCTGTCAAAAATCGTTGCAGATTTATTTCAAGTGAGAATATTTACTTAAAATGGGAAAGACCACTTGAGATTGCAATTTTAAGAGTCAAAATGTGGGTCAAAATTTAAGGAAGACACAATGATCACATATGCTCAATATTGAAATGATGAGAAGGTATAGAAGTCGAAAGAAATGATAAAAAGACTAATTGGTATGGTATGTTTTCTCTATACGGATGAGTTGAGAAAAAGGACTTTTTGAGCCCAAGTAACGAAGCCCAATTCCCGAATATTCGACTATTTGTTCTATATATCAATATATATAAAATATAAGTGCAATAACTAACTGAATGAGAATCAAAATCCAGACGAAACAACTGAAGCTAGAAGCTTGAAATTTGCCACGAAGGTCAGTCTTAGTGCGTAGGCGTGCGAAAATCTCTGTGTACTAAAATAAATAAAATGTACTAAAAATGTAATGGAATGAGCTAAAATTCTGAAATTCGGAACGAGAATCACTGATGGAGATCAGAACAAATGGATTTTTGGATATACGAATTTTAAGGTTATGAAAAGTACTATAATGGTACTTAACTTCGTAAAATTGTACCATTTGAAATTTGACATAAGAATGAAAATACTGTTTTTTTTTTTGGAAATTCGGAATATATGTACCAAAGGGTTCTTGGAAAATCCTTAAACTTTTAATATGGAACCATTTGATAAATGAAAGGAAATAGAGAAATAACTGACTGACTGAGAATAGGCGTGCGATGGGGCTGGGCTTTTGGAAAATCGTACTAAAAGGGTACGAAATGTACTGAATATAACAATATTTGGTATTGGGTGAAGGAATGGAGTTATAATTTTGAAATTTTATATTGTGATTGGTATGTGCGTTTGATATTTGGTGGTGGTTTGGAAATGTAGGAAAAGTACTAAATTGGTCCAATTCCAAATATTTGGTGAAGAGTTGGACTGGAAGTGTCAAATTTTATATTGACGTCTTTGAAGGTATTTGGAATTGAGACATGGAAGTGGTTTTGGGAATGTGTACAAAAAGTACTGCATTTGGCGTTAAAAATCCTGAAATGTAATGTAGATGTCACTGATGGTGTCTGTGGTTAAGAAATGTGTACTATAACTGTACGAAAAGTACCAAATGGTACTAAATTTGTTATCGGGTGAAGGGTTGGGGTGTAATCCTCAAACTTGATATTGATATATCTGGTTTTGGAAATGTGTACTATGATTGTACGAAAAGTACTATATTTGATATTGGGTACAGGAAGGGACAGGATATTCGATATTGAGGTCTCTGTTGGTATCTGTAATTGAGATATGCTTCGGAAATGTGCACTATAATTTACGAAAAGTACTGTATTTGATAAAAGAATGGATCTGACATCCTGATAGTTGGGATAGATGTCACTGTTGGTGTCTGTGGTTAAGATATAGAGGTGTTGTGAATTTCTCAAAAATATTAATTCACAGAACCAACGTGCAATGTTTTTTTAGTTATTATTCCACAGGACTTTATTTTTTTAAGGAACCGACAGCAGAACCGTCCTATTTTTTTTTTAATTTTTTTAACGATAATCAGAGTTCTAATTTTAGATCCCATAAGCAATTTTCGATGGACTCTAGAATTGTTAAAATATATTTTTAATAACGAAATTTTTGAAGGACTCTCTCGATCCTTTGAGACATTTTTTGAGAGGCACTAAGAGTTGATGGTTAGTAAAAAAAAATGAAGAACAAAAAAATGAAGAGCAGTATTTTTATGAATTATTCGAAAATCTTTATTGTGGATTTTTATTTTTTAAACTTTTTTGTAAACCCTAATATTACTTATTAGAAAGAATTTAGATTTTTTTACCGAAATATTTAAGGGTTTAGTTTTTTTTCTCTTATTGAGGGGTGGAAGAAGGGTGATGTCCCTAACATCGAATTTTTATTTTTTTAGAATAAATTAGGAAATATATCAATTGATTTGTAAGGACCTTCAAATCATTAATAGCAGATTTTTAGTTATCAATTTGAAGGACAATAAAATGTCGAATTCATATTTTTTTTTTGTTTTTTTTTTGAAGAAGTTTTCAGATTATATTTTAAATTTATCCAAATTATTTCAAGGGCTATTTGATTTTTTTCAAAGGACTTTTTTAACTTCTTTTTTTAAATTTTTATTTATATTTAATTACCGAAGTTGTACTTTTTTCTTATTATTTTTTTTTTATTTTTAGGACATTTTAAATAAATTTGAAATAATTTTTAAAATAAAAATCAAATCACGAATAATGTAAATTTATTAAGGAACAATTAGGTCTCAAATCGTGGTGTTAAAATAATATTTTCTGAAAGTCTATGAGAGCTCCAGTTAAGAGTTTTTTTTTTTTTTTCAACTTTATTTTAAAATATTTTTTTCGAAATCGTAAAGGAATAATGAAAACTGAATGAATTCTTTCGACTGGAAATCATATGTGACCTGGAACCAGAAAATTTCTGAGGCATTTTAATAAAAAATCGTGAATTTGTAAAGAATTATTGTTTTTACGTACAATTTTTTAATGACTGTCAGAATTTCAAATATGAATATTATGTGGAATTTTTGTGAAGATTCTCCAGAGGGACAACAAAGAACCTAGTAAGGGAACAAGGAAAGGCAGTATAGAATCAGTTCTGATAGTCTTAATAAAATATTTTTAGAGACATTTAAAAAACCAAGAGAACCCAAATAAAAGATATTTTCTAGGAATTTTAATGAAGGACTTTCAAAAAGTTAGTCATAAGTTTTTTGGAGAGGTCAATGTTGATTTTTTTAATTTTTGTATTTTTCAAAACACTAAAATAAATATAGGGAATTTTTGGTTGTGGAAAAAAATGTTCGAATTCCTCCTTCTTCGATCTCAATACTATAATACCGGTTTTTTAGTTTTTAGGAATTTCTTGATAAACTATTTAAGGATTTATTTTCGAGATCTATGGATATTCTGAAATGTCTTAAGAATCTTGAGTAAAAAATTCGTAATTTATTGTTATTATTATTTTTATAAAAAAATGTTTTTTTTTTTTTTTTTGTTTTGAAAATGCTTGATTTTCAATATAAAGTTTTCAATTTTTTTATTTATTTATTTATTATTATTAATATTATTAAGTTTTTTTGAATAGAAATGATTATCACTTGATTTTCACTATTAAGCGTTTTTTTATTTTGAATCTAAAATTTTTAAATTCCATCTTACCTGCTTGGACTACAACTGCACAGCTGGTGAGCGACAATGCCAGCAACCAGTAAATGTTGAATTTCGATTTGGGCAGCATTTTTGAGGTTATGTTTTGAAAATGATGTGTCACAATTTTTATTTTATTTTTATTTAGGGAATATTATTTTTCAATTTCAATTAATTTTTTTTTTAATTCAAAATTTTTGTTTTTATATTTATTTTTTCAAAATTTCTGTAAAATAAAAAAAATCAAATTTAACACAAATATTTAACAAACAATTTATTAACATTTTTTTTCATATTTTTTCGAACATTGCCAAGTAATACTGAGATTTATTAAAATGACCTTGCTTTTTTTTTTTTTTTTTTTTGATAGTTGATTTTAATATTTGATTTTGAAATCAATACAAATTATTGTAGTTTTATTAATTTTTTTTTTCAATTTATTTCTTTGTCGAAAACAACACCAAATAAACAAATTGTTATTTATTTGCTGTGATTTGTGATTTCTTTCAGTCTCTCTGTCAAGTGATTTGTTTGATTTAATTTTTTTGGTATTCAAATTTTGTTTTTTTTGCTCTCTGCTGTTGTGGGGCGTTTTAATTTAAAACAATTAATTGATTGCTAGATTTATTTGCTCTTTGATTTGTCAAAAAAGAGAACCCGAGGTATCAGAGTGTGTTGGAATTTCTGCTTCCTTGGATATTGAAATGCTGTCGTTGTTGTTGTTTATTTTCTAATGTTGTGTCTCCACTTTGTACTGCCCAAATTGTTGCCTTCTCCTTCTCGTTCAATGACTTTCAAATAGCCTGCAAATGAAATGAAAGAAAAGAAAACAAAAAATAAAAATAAATAAATAAAGATATGAATGAATATTTAGTTGAGGTTTTTATTTTGGTTTTGATGAGTTTGGTTTTTTTTTGTTTTTGGAAATTTAAAAATTAATTTAATTGCCATAAATTAAATTGACAGCAACGATAGATTGATTGAGAAATGCAAACATTTTTGAAAAATAAAAATAAATAAAATAATTGAAATGGAATGGAATGTTGATTTCTATAATTAGAATTGATTTCTTGGGTATTGATAAGAGAAATTAATGTTGATGAAGAAATAAATGTTTTTTTTTTCAAAAAAAAATACACAGGGAAGCTATATCGAGATTGTTGCAAGGACTATCAGAGAAGTTTGGAGATCTTCCATTTTTATTTATTTTATTATTTTTTAATTTATTTTTTTATTTTATTTTTTTTTCATTTATTTTATTTTATTTTTTATTTCTTTTTATTTTTTATTTTATTTATTTAATTTTTTTGGCGACAATAGAACTTCTATTCTAGAATTTGCAAAGAAGTTTTTCTCAGAGCTACTATATATTCAAATTCCCAATTTTTTTCAAAATATTTCATGACTGACTATCAGATGACAACCAAATGTTCAGAAGATCTTTTCATGGACTATCTGAGGAGTTTTGACAAAAATAAAATTTTTGGAGGACTATTGAATTCAATATTAAATTCTTGATTTTTTTTTTTAATAGGACCAATTTTTGAAGGACTATCAAAGGGTTATTTCCCTGTCTTTTGACGATATTTTAGTTACCTAATAACGAATTCTTGAAGAAATTACTTCAAGGACTCTATGAGATATTAAGAAATTATTTTTATACCCTCCACCATAGTATGCAGGCAGGGTATATTATGTTTGTCATTACGTTTGTAACACCTTGAAAAACACATTTGAGACCCAAAGAATACATATATATTCTTGATCAGCATAAAATTCTATGTCGATTTAACGATGTCCTTCAGTCTGTCCTTCCGCCCGTCTCTGAAATTCACTCTAGCTTCCGAACGAAACGAAGTAGGTTGATAAAATTTTACTCAAATGTGTATTATGTCCGCAGGACTTTTGGTATTAAAAATGGGTCATGTAGGTCCACGTTTTGGTATAGCCCCCATATAAGGGTACCTCCCCATATTCGTTATTTTGGTTAATTAAGTGACATTATTCACCGAAAATGTTTCAAATTTGGTATTTGAAGTTCGTAATGGGTAATACAGCCTACGATAGAAAATTGTCTGTGCAGGTTCACGTCCTACCATAGCCCCCTCGATATTAGGTATTTTGATTATTTTGGCGACATTATTCACCCGAAATGTTTCAAATTTGGTATTTGAAGTTCGTCATGTGTACTTCAGCCGATGACAGAAAATTGTTTGTGCAGGTTCACGTCTTCGTATAGCCCCCATATAAGGGTACCTCCTGATATTCGATGACTTTAGCGACATTATTTACCTATTTTTTTCAAGATTCGCATTTGAATATTGTAATGACTTATGATAAAAGTTGCCTATGCAGGTTGGGGTATTGACCTTAATATAACAGCTACATTCGGTATTTTTAAGATTTTAACAGAATTTTTAATGGATTTTATTTTTTTTGAAAATTTCCGAAATCGTTCCAAATTGTGGAGGGTATTCAATGATCGGCCCGACCGAACTTACAGCTTTTTTACTTGTAAATATTGGATCTAGGAAGTAGTTTTCGGAGGGAGTATTTTGGGATTTATTTTTTAAGGAGAATTAAGTTTTGAAGGATCGTTAAAATCCGTTTTTTTTAATTTTTAGATAATATGACTAATAATGAATTTTCGAAAAAAAAAATATTAAAGAAAGTTTATTTGAAGGACTCTCGAAGTCTGGATCATGTATCCGTAAAAGTTTTTCGAGGTTATCGCAATCATACCAAATTAGAGGGGATTTGGCAAACGATTATTAAAACTCTAAGCGTAAATTTTTTAAAGATTTTAGGGTTATTTGAAAGCTAAAATTATGGGTTTTTTGAAGCACTGTTAGAGCCTTAATTACAGAATTTTTGAACCATTTTTTGGATATACTATCCGAATTTTTACAAAATTCTTAAAAATATTTTCTTCATGGTTTTAATTTGCCTTTTTTTGTTTTTTTTTTTTTTTTGTTTTTGAGGAAAGTATTTGAAGGACTTTCAGATCTAATTTAGCATTTTTTTTTAAATATGTGTGTCCCGCAATTTTGAAGGCTTATTTTTATTATGTGACCATTTTACGAAAAATTGTTGAAGGTTCTTATATCCGGACTTTTGACCAGAAATCCCAATTTTTGAAGATTTTTTGAAAGATTTAAAAGCTAAAAACTAGTTTTTTTAATGATTTAAATTTTGTTTTGATTTATTGAGGAATTTTTATTTGTTTTTTTTATAAAATTTAAAATTTCGACTGTAAGTTATTCCTCTTAAAAATCCTTTGCCGTTGATTGTTTGGATCAGACCCTTAAATCCTGAATTTTCCTGACTTTTATGAAAGGGCTATCTATCCGAGAAGGAATTTCGTAAGAATTCTTAAAAATATTTTCTTCAAGTTTTTGATTGGCCTTTATTGTTTTTTTTTGTTTTGTTTTAGGAAAGTATTTGAAGGACTGCCAGGTCTAATTTTAGATTTTTTTTAAAATATGTGTGCCCCGCAATTTTGAAGGTTTATTTTTATTTTGTGACATTTTAACGAAAAAAAATATTTATTTATTTTTTATTTTATATTTTATTTTATTTATTTTTTATTTTATTTTATTTATTTTTTATTTTATTTTATTTATTTTTTTATTTATTTTCTTATTTATTTTTTTTTTACAAAAGTTTATAATTTCGACTGTAAGCTATTCCTCTTAAGAATCCTTTGCGGTTGATTGTTTGGATCAGACCCTAAATCCTAAATTTTCCTGAGTTTTATGAAAGAGCTATCTTATCCCAAATACAGACATTTAAATGAATTTAGTTGCAGGACCATCTGACATCAACACGAAAACTTTTTGGACCCCTAAGTTTTAACTCATTTTAAGTTTATTTTTTACAGACGGCTTATCTAAAATATCGAATTTTGCCTTTTTTATTATTCCGATTCATCTCATCCATTTATGTGTCAGCAAAACGCCCACATTTTAGCGCCGGAAGTTTATTCAAAATATTTCAATACAATGTTAATTTTTAATTATGCCCATTTTTGTTGTTGTGGTTTTTCATTTGTTTCTTTTTTCTCATTTTGGAAAAGAAATAAACAATTTTATTGACATCAACAAAATTAAGAGAAATTTCCAAATAATCACAAAATAAGTGAAAATTAATTACAAAGTGCCATATTGTAATGGTGTTGATAATTACAGATTACAAAAAAAAAAAAATATGTTAGTGTGTCACTGGAGGATTCTTACAAATGTGGAATTGTGGCCATTCGGGCAATGCCATTGACGTTAATGTGCGGGCTGTGTATGACGACAGCCAGATTGCCCCGTGGCAATTGATGGTATTGTGGCTAGAGAGTCGGGTCGTAGAAGAATTACAGCATTAAAACCTCATAAATTTTTCAGAATAAAAAAAGATAACAAATAGAACGCGATGGAAATTTGCAGGGCAATATTGAGTGTTCAGTTTTAATTTAAATTGATTTTTTATTTGATTTTTGTTCGGCTTTCTTAATTTTTTTTATACCTTCAGTCATATGCCTTAATTATTCGATACGGCGAAAACGAGCCTCATCAAAATAACGTTTTTAGACCAAATCCGTTTCAGGATATTAGTAGTCGATCTAGCGATGTCCGCCCATCTATCTGTCTGGCTGGTGCGCACGATAACTTTCGAAGAGAGTATTCAATTTGGTCCAAACTGGGTAAATATAAATATTATTATCAAGCTTAGATCGAAATTGAAGATGGGCAGAATTGGTCCACTGGCAACATCCTCTGGCAACTCTCCCACGAAAAGGCGAAATTTTCAAAAAACTATTTTAAAGCACAGAATGAGAAAGGATAATCCGATTCTGGTCCAACTTCGCAAATCCTGATATTTTCATCAGGTCTAGGTCAGGTGCGAAAATCAACAATATCGGCCAACTTCCTCAAGTACCTAACCGGACAACGCCTTCTGGTACCTCTCCCACAAAGGGTCAAAGTTTTAAATAACCAAAACGATAATAAAATCCAAAATAAGCTTCCGATTCTCTCCATATTTCACACATTACAATATTTTTATTAACCGAAGGTCTGGTGTTAAATTGGGATATATCGGTCCACTTCTTCTGGTACCTTTACCACAAAGGGTCGAAATTTGGAATAACCTTGAAGCTCATAAAACGCGAAATTAACACCCGATTCCGTTCAGACTTGGCACATCTGAATATTTC